CTTGGCCACTGTAAGACTGGAGGACTCCAACTCCCAGAATTCCCCAGCCAGGAAAGGAAGATAAAATGGGAAAGGAAAGGAAGATAAAAAGAAAGGAAAGGATAAAAAGAAGAAAGGAAAGGAAGAAAAAAGAAAGGAAAATAAAAAAAGAAAGGAAAGGAAGATAAAACGGGAAAGGAAGATTAAAAAGGAACGAAAGGAAGTTAGAAAGGGAAAGGAAGATTAAAAAAAGAGAAAGGAAAGGAAGATAGAAAGGAAAGGATAAAAAGAAAGGAAGGGAAGAAAAAAGAAAAGAAAGCAAGATAAAAAAGAGGAATGAAAGGAAGATGGAAAGGGAAAGGAAAGGAAGATAAAAAGAGGAAAGGAAGAAGGAAGGAGACAGAGGAAAGATGGAAAGGGAGGGAGGGAGGCAAATAGGCAGGAAGGGAAACGGGGAGACGGAAAGGGAGGGAGGGAGGGAGGGAGAAGTGGGGGAAAGAGGCGATGGGCTGACCATTGAAGGGTCTTCTCTGCTCCTCCTGCAGAAGATGCTGATTGGCGCTCAGGGCCAGGTGATCGGCAAGATCGCCACCGAGGCCGGCTACGACCTGATGAACGCCTTCCTGTGTGAAGTGCAGCTGAAGCTCTCCGTCCAGCTGAAGGAGTGAGCCCCGCCCGCCCTGAGAGGATGGGTCTCTTTTCGGACACTGCCCCCTGTCTGGCCCAAGCGCTAACTGGACTCTGAAAGGCCCCACCCCTCTCCCTTGGGGCAGGAGGGTGGAGCCCCCTCCTTCCCACCCCGGGGACCCAAAGGGCTTCTGGGGCGGTGGGCAGCTGGCCGGCAGCTCCAAGCCAAGGCCCACCCTCTGGGTTCCTTGGTTGGCAGAAGAAACGCGGTGCCACCTTGCCCCTTTGACTCTTGGGAGAACCCCTGGAAACCCACCCACCCCGCCTTTTCACGCACCTCTGGGCAGATTTTGGGCACAGCTAGAATAACTTCCTCCTCCCCCTGCGTTAAAGGGGTCCTTCGTCAGCCATTTTTCCCACTTGGCAAAGGAATCTCTCTCACCCCAATGGCTGCTCACGGGTGGCAGGCACATTATGGCGCATGCGCCGTACACCCCACCGACGGCATCTGGGCGAAACCTATGCCCATCCAGAGGAAGGCAAGGCTTGTTGGCTCTGTGAGTTAAAGGGTGTTAGGGGTTCATGGAATTGCAATAAAAAGAGGCTCCTGGTCAGAGAAACTGTCTGGTTGGATTTCTTGCTTTCGAGCTAGTCTTTAGATCTTCGCCTCTGCTTTTAAGCACAGCCGAACCTCCCTTAGGACCGAAGGTTTGCTTGCAAGCAAGTTCAGCGCAGACTCACGGCAAGCAAATTTGAGAGACTGAGCTAGCCGATGGCAGATTGATAGATCACTGAATGATTCTGTGAGCAACTCAATCCGCCTGCTTTGCCTGATTTTGGGTAAAAGTTGCTCTTTTTTAAATAAAAAAAATCAATATTTACATTCTTGGTGTGTTGTGAGTTAATTTTGTGAGTTTGCTTGCTAGCAAATTTTATGTGACAGACTGAGCTAGCTGATGGCGGATAGATAGATCTCTGAATGAATCTGTGATTCTGAGAGCAACTCAACCTGACTGCCTGCTTTGCCTGATTTTGGGTAAAAGTTGCTCTATTTTAATAAAGAATTCCATATTTATATAAATATTCATAATATTTACATACAAGCCATGTCCAGCCAGTCACATGACCACCAAACCATATCCACAAACTAGGCCACGCCCACAGAACCAGTTAGTGGTCCCTGGGATCTAAAAATTATGAGTTTGGTGGTCCCTGAGGTCCAAAAGGTTGGCGACCCCTGCTCCATTCCAATCTAACTCAGAGACAGACCTATCCCAAAAGTACCTTTATTAGGATTGCACCTGGCACATCTGTGAGATCCCGAATCTAAAAAGGGTTTTTTTCGAGCTTCCCACAAGCTCCCAACCTTCGAATTCACGTTTGTTCCCAGCAGCTGCCGCACTCTGCTTGCATCTCTTTTAAACGCTTCCCTGGTGTGGCTATTGAAAGGAATCAGGGCCTTGTCCTCCCCCGTAAGCCATGCAACTCACGTTGCTCCCTTCTCCGTTCTTCCCTGCGTGCCCTAGGAAGAAGAGGGGGTCTTCCCCCTGGGTCTTCCTCTGAACTCTCTCTCCCTTGTTCTACCTCTCCCCTGCTCTGCCCAGCCGGACTTTGCCCTTCCCCAGCCGCCTCCACAGCCAACGGAGCTCCCGCTCCCTGTCGGCCGTTCATCTTCCTCCTCTCAGACTCCCTGGTTGGGGACAGCCTAGCTAAATCTCAAGGGCAAATAAAGCTCAGAAAAATCTACATGCATTTATACTTCAAATACATTATTTCAACTCACGAATCAGCATATCTGCTCGGCTTACAAAAAAGCTTGGGTAACTTGGGGTTTCAAGAAGAGATTGGACTGCCATTTGTTAGAAATGATGTAGGGTCTCCTGCTAGGGGTAGGGGGTGGGGTTGGACTAGATGACCTCCAAGGTCCCTTCCATCTCTGATTATGTGTTATCTGAGGAAAATTTTGAATCCACTTTAAATCAAAAGGACATAGGAGGTTAGTTTTATTTAGTGGCCAAAATAAATGGATTTTATAAGAAAGACCCTTCAAACGCTTAAAGCTTGCTTCATTTGATTTTTTTAATTTGATCTTTAAAATCAAAGTTGGTTGAGGGACAAGTAGCCTATATCTTCAGGCAACACAAATGTGTCATACCAACTCCATCTCTTATTTTAGAGTCAAGGTTCAGGTTAGTCCTTGACTTATGACCACAATTGAGCTCAATGTTTCTGTTGATAAACGAGACACTTTTTGCCCACGTTTTATGACCAATCTTGCAAAGCTGGCTGAGGAATTCAGGGAGTTGAAGTCCACCAGTCTTCAAGTGGCCAAGGCTGGAGACCCCTGCCTTTATTTATATTTTATTTTCTCAAGTGATTATAAGATAACAGGTATAAGCATAAACATAGTTATGAGTACATGAAATTGATACATATAAGAAAAATAAAAGAAACAATAGGACAGGGACGGTAGGCACGTTGGTGCGCTTATGCACACCCCCTACAGACCTCAGGAAAGGGGTGAGGTCAATAGTAGACAGTCTATGGTTAAAGTTTTTGGGGTTTGGGGAAGAAACCACAGAGTCAGGTAGAGTATTCCAGACATTGACCCCTCTGGCTGACGTCGTATTTCCTGCCATCAAGTTTGGTGCGATTAACCTTGAGTTGGTATCTATTGTTTGCTCTTGTGCTGTTACGGTTGAAGCTGAAGTATTCATTGACAGGCAGGACATTGCAATGTATGATTTTATATACTATACTTAGATCGGACCGGTTTGGTGGTTAGTTTTGGTTGTAGTTGTGGTTGTTGTAGTTGAGGTTGTGGTTGTTGTGGGATTTGATTTTGAGCCGATAGGTACTCACTAATTTTTATTTTTCCAAGAGAGATTAGGGCTGCTTGTGTAGTTGTTTCAAAGCGTGTTGCTAAGCGTTCTTCTGTCGAGTGAATGAGGGATTCCGTGCTTTCAACTCTGTCAGGCAGGCTACTCAGTTGGTTTAGCTTAGAGAACATGACGGACATAGATAAAAGAACCTATCTGAAGTTTTAACCATATCAGCTAGGTTTTTGTTTGCGTTTAAGCAGGCAGGGTGGGCTCATTTGATGTAAATTTCGCTTTCATGGATGGTTTCAAGACACCAGAAGCGTGTGCATGAGTCTGGGAGGTCATTGGTAGAGATATTTTTCTTGTTTTGGTTTGGAGTTTTTGGCTGGCATGGTCAATGGCACACTAAAAAAATTACAACAGCTAGTTAATATGATAGGTAGACAGTTACTTAATGAATGTTGGTAATTAATAAATGTTAATTGATATGTTAGAGAACAAATCAAAAGTAAGGTTACTTATTACTAAAAACCAATCAATCAACCAATTGGTTATTCAAATC